AGGAATTAGCAAATGACAAAAATATAATCTTGCACGTTATATTATTTTATACTAGAGGCTGATGCATGAAATTCATGCTAGAGTAGGACTTCCTTCCCCTGGCTGCTGGCACCGGCTTCCCTCCGGTACCTGGGATTCAGGCCTCCCTCTGACCACCAGCAAGCACATGGGATCTGGGCTTCCCTCACAGCCCTGGCTTTGTCCGGAAAGACGTCCATTCTAATTAGCATATTACACTTTTATTATTATTATAGATCTGTGTGTATGTGTATACCATAGAACATAGAATCCACTCTTTGTCTGATACCACTTAAAGGAAATATTGTTTTTATTCTGAAATTGATTGATTTTAACATTGTTCATGACTTCTTTATAATTTGGTGCACTAATGAAGGAAAAAAGAGGTAGCTCTTTTATTTACCATTATCATTTTTTATGGGAGAGATTATTTTTATTTAAACTGAATTATAAAGCATATTGCCAAAATGCCAAAATTTAATTTTCTGAAAAATATATCTTTGCAGAAAAACTTTATTAAAACTCAGGCTGTAATTTGTTCACTACATGAGTATATTTGTTAGTTATATTTAGTGTTGTTTACTCAAAAGTTTTCTTATATAAAAAATGAATATATAGCCATAAACACACTGGACTGTGATGTGGGCATTAAGTGTGTGGGATTTGGAATCAAGAAGGCATGAGTTAGAATTCTGGGTCTCTCCTTTACAGCTTTGGATTTAGGAAAGTTATTTAGTCTCACTAATCTTTCTTTTCTTTAGTGATAAAATGGGATTAAAAACATGATCGATCCTTGAAGATTCTTAGGAAGATTAAGCAAGAGCTTCTGTCTAAATGTCTGGCATTATTCAGCTACCCATACATGTGTGCAGTTATTTATAATTATTATCTCCCCTCTCAAACGCACAAAGCAATAATGTTCAGAATGTTTTTCTCTATTTTATAAAAACAGAAAGTTGGAGGAAATAAAAACTTCCTGAATTTTAAAATGAAAAAGTGCTCCCAAGAAGTTGGTACAGAAATGCCTCTCAGAGTTTTTACTACAACAGATTATAAGGGATGAGAGTTTAGGATGAGAAATTGTCTGGAAACACCCCATATTTTCTGTTTTTATTATTTGATATTAAGTTTTTATAATCGCCACATTCTACAAATATTGCTATAGTATTTTATAAGTTTTTTGTTGTTTAACTGATTAATTAGATGACGGTAAAAGTGTCTAGTGGAGGAAGTCTGCCTACCTCCCAAAATGAATAAAGGAGAGGGTATTTCGGTAGT